AACTGGGAGACTCAGGTCTCTCCTGACCCAGCGGCCGGCGGGTGGGGAGGGCCCCGGCTCCTGGGGACGTTGGGCCCAGAGCCCGCCAGTCCTGCAGCCACTTCCCGATGTGAGGGGGAGGCTGTGGCCCTGGGTTCAAGTCCTGCCCTTCCGGAAGCAGCGGTGAGCTTAGGGGCCTTAGGCCGGGGCTGGCACTGAATTCATTTGGTGTCAAACTCACACTCTGGCGGTGGCAAATAACTCTGGGCCTCAGTTTCCTCTTCTTGGCAGTGGCAGTTGTCTTTGTGCCTCTGTTTCCCCATCTGTCCCGGTGCTCTCTGCTCCCTGCTGGGCCCAAAGGGAAACTGAGGAACAGAAGAGGGTCACACAGCCAGACGGTGGCAGATGGGGGGCGCGGGCAGGACTACACCCTGCCAGTGCATAGGGGCATCCGGGAGGCACCCAGGGGACATGAACGTTAGGCTGGGGGGGCGTCTGCCGCAGGCTGGACCCCAGCTCAGTTCTGAGGCCTGAGGCCGCTGGGTCTCCCGCCTCAGTTTCCCCGTCTGGCCAGGGGGCAGCCGCACGTTCCCACAGCCAGGGTGGCTGTGCGCGTCATGGAAGCCACCCCTGACCCCGCCGGCCAGGCTAAGTTTAGAACAGAAAGAAAAACAGACTCCCTACGCCCTGGAAAATCCAGGCCCGCTGTAACCCTTACTGCCTGGGATGGGATTCGAACCCAGCACCCCCACGGCTACTCCTAGCCTCATTTTCTCTGTTCGTGACTATACACGTCTTCTTGTAACCTCTGAGAAGAGGTGAGGGAGAGGATTAGCGGGTCATCCCGCAGGCCTCCCCTGAGCAGGGCGAGTTCAGAGTCCCCCGGCCCCCCAGAGCGCCATGCATCCCCGCCACGCTCAGCCTGGCGAGACTTCACGGACCCCGAAGCAGGCAAGCGGAGCAGGCCGAAGGCAGCCAAGTTTCCCCGAGTGAGACCGAATGAAGATGAATACACCGGCCCCTGCCGCCGCTCCCGCCCCCGGAACCCGGCTAAGAAGGGCCGGCCCAAGCCGAAGAAGCACGAACTCACCCGAACCCACCAGGTGCAGTCAGGGGCAAGCAGCCGAAACGGCGGAAGTCGCGTCGGGGCGTCCAGCCCAGCCCAGCCCAGCCCAGCCCAGCCTGACCCGACGGCCTTCGGAGACGCGGCTGATTCTTGCTTGACCAAGGCCTGGCTGGCCCCGTCCACAGCCTCTCCATCCGGCCGCTCTGTAACCTTCGGCAAAGGCCACGGCGGGGCCCGAGTGGACACTGGCTTTTGGCCAGCAGCCCCGAGTCGCCGGTGGCCCCCATTTCTCCCGTCTCTGCTGGTTCGGCCCACACCTGTGACCCCAGCTCTCGGGAGGCTGAGGCAGGAGGACCACCGAGTGTTTGACACCAGCCTAAGCTGC